CCCCCCAAACTTTTTCTTATAAAAATAAGAAAATTTGATAAAATTTGATTAAATGCTTGTTGAATCATTCAAAATTTTCATCGAAGTGTGCCAATTTCTCTGAGATTCTCATCAAATAGTGTCAAACTGCATTTAACATTAATAAAAATTAATCGAACCATATTCAGTTGATTTTTAACTTTATCAAGAGGGCTTGCACAATGTTAAGCGTCTTTGACGATGTGTATTTCTTGTTTTGTGGTGTTTCTTTAGCTAATGATTAGAATACGCCTTCGGCTTTGCTCATCACTCAAATTGCGACTATCTTCCATTCCTTGAGACATAGCCCCAAATATGGGGCTAGCGCGTTTCAACAGAAGTATGATGTGTGATGAGCCTCAGGATCAACGATGCAGTGGCGATGCGTGATTATCGATGTTGCCCCATTTGAATCTGTAGTAAAGAATCGATTATTGCGGCGTTCGTAGCGAAGACCCTGCTTATCGATCGTTTACCACAGGTTCAAATGGCAGATCAATCGATACATCACAAAGCACCTATGTCACAGCACCGATGGACGATTGCTCTGGTGAGATAATCAGTTGCTTCATAAACTTTTCTTCGATGGACAAACGAGTTACGGTTAGCTCGTATCGTCGCTCTCTTGGCGTAAGAGCGTATCTTGATTTTCGCTTGAGCCCCAGAAAGCGTGGATTTGTATGTAAAACAGGGCTCACGCGCTCACGTGGAAATTGAGATACGGACTTACGTCAGAGGAGCGGCAATATCTTCAAGGTAGTGAATCCTTGTCGTCAGTGTCAAACTATCCAAATTTTTCAAGAGTTTTAGGTGATGGGGCTCCATCTCTTTTTTTGTCTAGGTGATACCTTGAGCTAATATCGACTCATAAATCATATCAGTCCGTTGTTTTTTCTAGTCTGAGTTAAAGTCTCCGAGTATGGAAGGAATTCTGAATATTCTGTAACAGTGCGCCGTTTGCCCTCTCGTCAAATGAACAGTCTTGTGATTTTTAAGGCAATAAGAAATTATTTTTCATAGTTTTGTGTCTCTAACATTCAAATTCATTTAAATGGGTATTATGTCCATAAAATCTTAAGCGAAGAGCTAACTTTAACTACAATAATGAAAATTAAGACTTGAAATTTTGTCCTAATTTTCTTGAGAGGATTTAAACGCTTCAGACACTGGAAACCGAGTATCGCTACCTTTTACTCCGAATCGGTTTAATTTGTTGCACTGAGCTATATAAATTGTCTATCTCAAGGAAAATTTTTCCGGACACCATCAATATTCGATAGTTGGAGTACCAACCCACGCATCTCGATATGTGACTGTGCAAATTAGCTATGACATTTTTCTTCTGCAAGAAGAGCCTGATGATCAATTTTGCACGAAATTTCGTCAGGATTATCTTCGTTCTTCAAACAGTATTTTCTTAAAATTTTATGCGAAAATATTGAGCAGTATTTTCTTGAAAAAAAAAATGAAAAAAAAAAAAAAAAAATGAGTGGAATCTCCTCAACACCGCAATCGAGATCAGCTGTTTGGCAGTTAAGAACACACCATCGATTTGCCTCGAGGTGTGTGCGCATTGACTGGAATAAAAGGTGGATAAAGGGGAGCAGATAAAAAAGAACAAAGCGTTTAAAAAATACACGAAAGTGAGTATCATTAATAAATTACAGGTAGATCAACGCAGATCGACTTAAAGGTAATAGAACAACGCCATACGGGTGCGGATTTCATTCAATTTAACCAAAAAAATCGATTTTTTTCTTTTGATCAGAAAAGGCGATTCAATCAAATCGATTGTTTAAACTCCAATTTGCCGATTTTTTCTTTGAATCAATGTAATTTTGCGGTATTTGGCTATATTCATAATCATACAAAATTTAGATAATTTTAAATTATTAAATTTATAGCTCTTAGCGTAACGACAGAGGCGAATCTAGCAAGTTGGCAACACCGGATTTCTTCCATTTAGACCAATCAAGCCTTGTCGGAACACCTCTCGTCCCTAAAAATCGCTACATTTACCATAGGTTTGAATGGAGAAAAAATGATCTTGTCAACTTTTTGGATCTACCAATGCTTAAGGAGAGAGTAGGAGCAGAAAAAATCGATAATTAGGAATCGAACTTCAGAAAAATCGATATGTAAGAATCGAAATTCAGACAAATCAATTTTTACAAATCGAAATACAGACAAATTGATTTATATACCTAAATGAATCCGGCTTGATTAGCTTTTTATACCAAAATCGAACCGGCTTAAATAGATTTTTACTTCAGAATCGATTGTTTCTTACAAATTGATATTTATAGATCGAAATTCAGATAAATTAATTGAAGCACCTAAATGAATCCGGCTTGAATAGCTTTTAGACCAAAATCGAACCGGCTTAAATCGATTTTTAGTCCAGAATCGATTGTTTCCCTAGAAATCCGCATCCTTAAACAATGAGCTAGTCATGGAGCGAGGAGCTCAATCGATGTCGGCGAAGTTGAGGGTTTGAGTGGTTTGAGCGTGGTGCCTGTAGATGTCGTCGAGGGCGGCGGAATCCCTGAGGAGGACAGCGGAGGGGGCGACTGAGGGAGGGGCGCCCCCGCCGGGCCCCACGCCGCCGCCCCCGTTACCCGTTTGCGCCGACAGACCGCCCGACTGACCGTTCTCTTGCCGCATGATGTTCCGCCTCCACTTGGCGCGCGCGTTCTGGAACCACACCTGAAATCATTCAAAAATACGATTTTAACCTCTGAAACATCCTCTCAGAGCACAAAAACAGGGTATAAAGTAGGTCCAAAGGCGGATCCACGGGGATGTAGCGGGTGTGCGCCATCCCTCCCTCCCCCCCCGTTCGTCCGAAAATGAACACTGGAAAAAAAACACACATTGGATCTAGAGCCCAGACTCTTAAAAACATCGACAAGAAAAAAATACTCTTGATTCAATCAGATTTAAGCTTAAATCAAGAACCCAGCCTCGTAATTTGAGCGGATTTCCTTTTGATTTAAGCTTAAATCTGATTGAATCAAGAGTATTTTTTCTTGTCAATGTTTTCAAGAGTCTCGACTCTAGATCCAATGTGTTTTTTTCCAGTGAAGGAGGAAGAAAAGAGGAGTAAAGAAAGAAGGAAGGAACGATGGAAAAAAGAAGAAAAACCGTTTTTATTTGGTTATCATTTATGACTCAAACTGCATATTTGATGCTTTAAAATCTTGAAAAGTGTCAGGGAAGGCTCCCAGACCCCCCTTACGCTCCCCTTGTTCGAAGTGTCTGGATCTGCCAATGAAATGGATAAGCTCTCTTGTGCTATAGAATCACGTCGTATTAGGATGTATTAGACCTATGTCTAAAGCCCGTATAATACAACCCCATGCAACCCGCGTAGCACTTGTTTATAGCAAGATTCGGGTCAATCTGACCCGGATAAGGGTCAAAAAAGATGCAAAAGAACCATTCTTTTACCGAAGGAAAGACAATAAGTGAAATACTGCACGCAGGGCCCCCGCACTTTGACTTGGCACAGGGTGCCCTCTATAATTACCTCGTTGGTATGCAGCAATTAACCAGCGTTTAACACAAAGTTCTCAACTGCAATTCAAGAGGAGCTTAAGGATGACAATTTAATTGAGCCATCCGGGATGCAGTCTCCAGCGAAGGAGTTTCGGCGCTGAAGACACAGACTCGGGGTCCCGGGGTCAGAACCACGACCCGCCCCGACTTGCCAAAATCACGTGGATCGAGCTCCAAGCCCCCGTATTTTGGAGGGCGCCACGCACGGCGCGACAACACAACCACCAGATGACAAACCGCATCCACCCACTTCCTGACTTTGTCTGCGGTATTGCCGATTTAACGAATTTCACTGTGATTTTCTGTGACTGACATTGACGAAACCGGGGAGTTTTTGTGAGGGGAGAAGGTAGGAGAGCATCTCACGAAGGGGTTATGAGGGCAACCCATCAATGGAGGTCTGGAAGACTCCCCTAGTCCCGATGGTAAGTTCTAAGAACTTCCCTACCAAGGGGGTGGCGACAAGAAACTGACGAGTGAATCTGCAGAAACAGACTCTACTCGGCCTTAATCCCTGTTTCGAAAGCCTGGAACATGGATGTGTACTAACCCTAGCCCCTAGCCCGATGCTCATTCAAGGTTGCAGAATCCTCAAGTGGATTAATAACTTAAAAAAATAGACCCGCGAAAAATTTCGGGTCGATTTCGGACGACTTAACCAAAAATTCGGTCTATCAACCAAGTCCATTTGGACGATCTGACTGAAATCAAGTAACTCAAAGGAACCCACACTCCACAGTAACCAAAAACACGGACATTTTTAAGTGTTTTTGTGTGTGGGGGATTGCTCCTCCATTTCACCAAACATTGAGAGATGGAAACGAAAGAAGAAGAGGGAGGAGGAGGAGGAGGGGGGGGAGTAAAAACGGTTTTTAGGCCCTAAAATAGGCTTTGACTCCCCATCAGGAGTGATTAGATCCACCTACGTCACAGATTTGGTCGAAACCCGTCGAATGTCCACAAGGCGGACGGCAACATTGTGTTATCGACTTATCATTCATCAATGTCACACGGTGAGAAATTGCCCCTGTTGCGTGTGTGTTTGTATGCTCCGTCATCGGCGCTTCTCCTGCATCATTACTCCAACTCTACCGCACCCCCTCCCCCGCACATCCTGGGTCCTCGCGCAGTGTTGCAAGATTGTAATGGTCCTGTTCCACACTACAGACATATCGACGGCGTAAGTCGGCAATGACACACCTCGTTTGCGGTGTCTAAAAATCACCGCCTCTATGTTACTTTTATAAAAGAGAATAAATTGGCATCATTTCTCGGAATTCTTGCAGAATTTTCTTTGCGCAAAGAAGAAAAATCACAGCAGCTTTAAAGAATTGCTGTTGAGTAGTTTTCCGTTTAAAGAATGGAGTATGACAGGAGGTCTGCGACGTCGCGAACCGAGTCATGTGATTGCCGACTTACACCGTCGATATCCCCAAAAAGAAAGGAGAACATGTTTGCTTTTCCGCTGATTCAGAGACTTTAACACACAAATAGAAAAGTTAGACGGGAACAACCCGTGATACAACTATTTCAACTTCCAAGTAGATAAAATTGCATATCCCCAAAAAGAAAAGAGAACATGGTTGCTTTTCCGCTGACTCAGAGACTTTAACGTCAATATGCGTGCAATGAACCACCAGAAAGGGTGAGAACTCAATCACTGTAAGTCGGGTTTCCTCAACAAAATTTCAAGTATATTGCGTTTTGAGCGTACAGGAAACAGTGCAACGAAGCGTGAATGATCGATTATCGATATGTCCTCATTTGCAGCTATGGTACAGAATCGATTTTTAAGGTATTCGTTGCGAACATCCTGTTTTTCGATCATTTCTCATAGGTTTAAATAGCAGATCATTCGACACATCGCAAAGCAAGTCACGCCACTGATGGGAAACTCCAGCATTACAGCGGAAGTCTAGTCTGTATTTCCCATTTGCACGAAAAACTAAAATCCTTGTTGGTTGAATTGGAAGTCACTGATTGGGGAAATCAACATGGCGTGTATTGTTAGTATCATCAAAATACAAGTTTTGCCAAAATCTAAATTTAATACCTTCCTAAAAATGTGTGGACGCTGTGAAAATTTAAACCGAAATTGACAGAAGCTGCGGATTTGAAAGAAGCGACTTGGTATGCCGAGTCGAATTTTTGGAAAAAATTTAGCTGGGAGTAATATGAATTTAACTTAATTGTATTTTTTCCGCTTTCAAAAATTGAAAATTGATAAAAAATATGTTTAAACTTTGCCCTGAGCTCTACGTCTTGTGGAGGAAAAAAACTTCAAACCTCTTTTTTTTCGGCTCAAACTTGATGTGACTTGATGCATTTTATCATAATTGGTTCATTTTATGTGAACTGATATTACAGTGCTGACTTAAGAATTAGTTCCCAAGAAAACTTCTCAATTATTTCAGTGGCACACAGTACTTCCCGAAATAACTCGAGAGCGAAAATTAAGATTCGCACAACCAAGTGGCAACGCCTCAAGTCTTTGGCCCACGATTCGTAAATCGTGCCCTCCCGCGTAAATCGCGATTCTCTTGAACTTTGCGCGACCCCAAGATTTAAACTTACGGGGCTGATTTGAGCTTTGCGTCGAATTAAGAGGTATTTAACTATTGAGCTGTCTTATCAGTGTCAGGGAGCATTCCGCTAACGTCTCAATAACTTCGGAAGCTCCTGCAAGCAAGAAAAGGTCATAATTTCATGAGCGCGGGCAGTGTGCTAAGAAGACGCTTTCTTATTTATTCAGCTCATTAACGCGGGCAATATTTTACGTAAAAAGAGAGACGGCATTCTCTTCCCGAGGTCTCTCTTCTTATGAAATAAGGTCGGTTGAATTAAGGTTGTTCGCTACCAATTTTTAGTGTCATACTCGCTGACAAAGGCTGACGACGCACATTGGACTGAGTCAATACAAGAGGTCGGACAAAATTTGGAAACTTTAAAAGCTCATCACTCCGTTTACACTAAAATTTGAGGTTCTCAAAGTGGTTTTATTTGTTTCCTCGTAAAATGTTCTTTTTGAAACACCCCTTGGAATTTAAAAATTGACGAAAAAAGCATCAAAACTGGCAGTTTAAGTAAAAAAGTTCATGACCGACCTCTCTAATTGACTCGATCCACTGTGCGACGGCGAAACTCCAAAAACGCACAACTCGTAGTGTGTGTGTCTGTAGTGTGTCAAAATCTCTGCTGCGTTTTCATTTCATCAAGGGACAAAAAATTGACGCTGTCGTGAAATTCTCACCGAATATTCTTTATGCAGAGTAAAATGTAAAGGAAGTTTTCAAGCTGAAATAACGTAGATTATTTTTCCCATCAGAAAATGGGTCATGTATGATGGGAAGTCTGGGGCGTCGCAAACCGCAAGATACGCGTTTTTGCAGTTTAACCGTCGTTGGTTTTTTTGACGCAGGGCTCGGTTGTTGTTCTCGTGGTAGGGATTTAACAAAAAGTAGAGGGTTAAAGGGCATCGAACTTTTCACGAATCTATTTTACTTGTATATTTTCCAGCGAAAGTGTTGGTTTATTTTTAATGTTTGATTTGCTTAAAGTTGAATTTGAGAGTCCATAGGCATTAAATTTGAATTTGCTGATTTTATCAATTGAATCGGTGTCTACTGGACGGGCATACAAGTCCAAAAACTCATAAGCCCCAACGTCCTGCGTGACAAACGAAAGCTAGGGCTGTGAGTTGTTGAACTTACGCCCGTCTAACATAAACAGATTAAATTGTGAATAAAAAACACTTGCCACTTCTTAAGAAGTTCGTTGACTTTTCCCACAAAAGTCTTATGGAACTGTATGTTATGAGTGTAAGTAAGAATTTTTTGCGAAGGGGGTAGAAAGGCCTCTTGTCAAGCATGATCTGAGGGCACAGAAAAACAACCCCCGCGAGTTCATGAACATTCCAGAACGTACATAAAATAATCTGAACGTTTTGCTTACCGATGTATGTCCAACGGACGGTACCAGTGGAAATCAGAGTGTAATTTCTTAATTTTTTGGAATTTTTCAAATTTCTGTAATTTTCTCTCTGATTTTTTGAATAATAAAAAAAGAGAAAAACAACCCCATCAAAGGGGGTCCGAGGGTGCGGGGGCTCGGGGAGTCCTTTACCTCAAAAATGAGATTCGGGCATATTGAGACATGAGAGGGGCGACTTTCGGCTGTTTTTACAGAGAACTTGATCGGAAAACGATCTCAAAGATGACAGGAGTGTCACACATTTATTTCACAAAATCTTATACATTATCTGAAAGGGGCGAAGTAGATTCCCGCCTATGCTTGGGGTACTATTCTACCATGCTAAGGAAAAACGCCGTATTAGCATTTAGACGTTGCCAGATTTCCTTTAGTAAAAACTGAATTAACTGGAAAAAATTGTTAGTATTTACTGGAAAAAAAACACATTGGATCTAGAGTCCAGACTCCTAAAAACATCGACAAGAAAAAACACTCTTGGTTCAATCAAATTTAAGCTTAAATCAAGAACGAAGCCTCTTAATTTGAGCGGATTTCCTTTTGATTTAAGCTTAAATCAGATTGAATCAAGAGTCCTTTTTCTTGTGAATGTTTTCAAGAGTCTGGACTCTAGATCCATTGTGTTTTTTCCAGTGTTTTTTTTTAAATCTTGCCAATAATTTTGTTCGCAATTTGATCTAAAACAGCTGAAAATTTCACAGAAATATTGGCATAACCATCCTAAGAAATAGATGTTTTATCCGGAGAAATTTGGCAACTCTCAAATATTCATATGGCGTTGTCCCTAAGCACGGCAGTGTTCTTACTCTATTCAGAGAGGCCCACTTCGCTCCTTCTTTTGGTAGTTAAAACTGACAAATGAAATTAAAGGCGTAGCTTACCTGGAGGACTCGTTTGGATAATCCTGTTTTTTGGGCTAATTGCTTTAAATCTTTGGCATCGGGGTTTTGATTGATATTGAAGTAGGACTTCATGGTTCGGAGCTGATGGTGCTTGAAGGAGGTTCGCATTCGCTTCGTTCGCTGCTGTATCCCGTGCACCGCTCCAGGCGACGTCACCGATGAATCGTAGCTCAACGACTCCATCGAAGAAGACAAATCGCCCGAGTGAATCATCTCTGCCAACAGAAAAGTAACTCCTGTGAGCTTTCGCACAACCATATTGCAGTAAAATGAGGGGTATAGATTCAACCGACACACGGTGGAACGAGCTAATAGAAGAGGTCGAACACAAAATTTTTGGCTAAAATTTCAGAATTTGATGTTTATTTCGTCACAAATTCAATTTTAAGGGGTATTTTTGCTAGAAAATTTTACGATAAAACCAATGGAAACACTTCTAAACTTTTTTGTTTCATATTTTTGAAAATATAAGCTTTCAAAATTTATAGATTTTGTCCGACTTCTTCTATTGACTGGGTCCAATGTGCGACATGAATCGATCGAAAAATAAATTCGGAAGGCAATCGACAAACTTCATCGACAAAATTCTGATCGACAAACTTCAATCGGTTCCAGGATTTGTCGATCGATTCATGGTTGTCGATCGAATCTCGTCGATCGGTTCAAGTTTTAATTTTCGATTGTTCGATCGATTCATGTCGATCGAATTGACACCAGTTTCATGATAATTTGTCGATCGATTGATGTTTTTACTTTTCGGTTCGAATGTCGATCGAATCCATATCCTCCCGGTAAAATCACCTTGATTAGGAGAAACTGCCGTGATACAAGACAGCAAAGCACCTTAGTTGGTAGATACAATAAGAGACCGCTGATTTTGAGGTACTTGCCTAAAATAATGCTATAAAGATCAACCATTAATCGTGTATCACATAAACTGAATTGTGAGTAGCACCAATTTCTTTAATGAACACGAAAAAAACGGCTTAGTGCTGATCCGTAAAGAGGTATAGTACACCAACAGGGCCGGATTTACCTTCTTGCCGCCCATGGGCCGCCTGTATTTTGCCGCCCCATCTCATTCGTTTTGAAACATCCATAGAAACCATCAGGCGAACGTGCCGGAGGAGGAGGGGTGCATAAGACGCGTTTACTCGCGTTTGGCACATTTTTTGTGAAAGCCCTGTCAACACTCGCAAAAGTTCACGGAACTTTGCTCGAAAATTAAGTTCCGTAGACCTATCTCTGTGTGGACGATGCATTTCATTAATAAGAAAAGAACGAACAAATTATGAATAAGAATAAACATGGATGTGGTCTAATGATCTTAATTTCCGCCACCGCGCAAACCGCACTGTGTTTGGCGCAATGCGTGAAGTATCCCTACAGTCTTGTAGGCGCTATGCGTTTCACGCTGACGGTTGTTGATAAAGTGACCGCACTATGTTTTTGACGCAATGCGTGAAGTATTCATGGAGTCTTGTAGGCGCTAATATGTGTTTCAAGCTGACCGGTGCGCCGATAGGGCTTCTACTTTCCATCTTAAGTTCTCGCCATCATTGCTCTCTGCGCCGTGTCGCTCCAGGCCAAATTGCGTGTTTGGTTTCTCTCTCAACTAGACGAATGAAAGACGCTGTCTCTTGTATCACCGAAAGACGAACAAATTAGAAATTACTATAGTTTAACTCTCAGGATATGAGAGATTTTTTCGCCTTTCCTCATTTGTGATTTTTTTTCTGAATCAGATTTTTTTCTTAATACCTACATTTGAAAAAATTACAAATGTGCCGCCCCCTAAATTTGCCGCCATGGGCCGCGGCCCATGTGGCCACCCCCTTAATCCGGCCCTATGTACACCAAGAGTGTAACGCAAAGATTGTAAGAATAATTAATAAGATATGAGAGTACACACGGTGGCTATACGTGAAGTCAAATCTTTAAGTTTTTTATGGTAGCTAGAGAATCGTCGATGAATAATTTTTTGGATGAGATTTTATTGCTTTGTTTTTGTAAATAATTAATGACCTGTGTTCACAGTAGTTTTTACAATTTTTACTCCTGCGAATAATTGATATGAAATATTTTTAAAAATAAAAAATCACCGCGCTCTATGATTTCATAGGCCTTTTAAATTAAAAATACGAGTATAATTTTAGCAGATCAGATAATGTGTGATAATCTCCACCAAAATTATTCAAACAAGAGTCTAAGGAAATTCTTGCACTGGGCTGATTCAGTAGATCCATTTATGAACAAAATTCATCAAATTTCTGACACCTCCATATTCTCCATTTATTGAAGCCCCCGTTCTCAAGAGTCAAGACTACCTGTGAGATTAAGTATGGAGAAGTTTAAGAATTTTCTGGAGACGCCACCACGGAATGGCGACTCGAAGATTTCAAGAGCGCAGAAACAATGGGGCAGCAAATCGAGGGCAACCATGAATGAAATATTGCGAGCAATACGAATAGGGCAACAATACAAAGAAATGCCTCGTATGGAAATGAAGGAGAGGCGCTCTGCCTTGCTAAGGAAAAACGGCGTATGAACATTTAAATGTTGCCAAATTTCCCAGTTAAAACATTTATTCTGGAGGAAAGGTATATATATTTTTCATTGAAATTTTACCATATTTTAGATCGAATCGGAGGGGGAATTCTCTGAAAATTTAGAAGAAAAATAGTTCAAAGTATCGTAGGAAATTAGCGGGTTTTTTTCGGGAAATTTGGCAACGGTGGAAGGCTCATGCGAGGTTTTTCCTTAGCAAGGGAGAGAAGGAGCCCCAGTTGCGCGTTTAAATAAATGAAAATAAAATCAATGATTTGTCTCGCGAGGTAGAGCGCATCGCAAAAAGCGCTCGCGGTCAGGGAGGCGGGATTGACGGCCGGGCAGTGATGTCAAGAGAGTAATGTGAAATTCCGTCCACGTGACGTTCCATTCAGTCTTGCCAACAATCGCCGGATGTTATTCACCGGTACCACTGTATTTAATTTATTTATTTTATACCAGTTAATTTTTTCTCCTTTTTTCTGGGCTGCTCTAGCGGATGACATGACTAACATCGGTCCGAGGTGGATACGCTGCTGACAATCGCGACTTCTGTAAACTTTCAGTGACATTCCTCCAACACACTTTTGTCGCCGTGGATCGGGCAAGCACCGATGCCAAACGATTCCTAGGAGACGCTGATCCTTCGAAACCGCGGGACTTCCGTATTGGCTGGACGTTATTTGTTACGAGATAACGTGATGGACAATATAACGTGAAATTTCTTTAAAATTCTTTAAAAGAAATCGATTCCCTTTTCAAGAGGTTGTTTTAAACATTTTGTCGACAAAAATGTTAAAAAACTACAGTTGATGCTGTAAGAGTTCCTTATTCAACAATTTTTCACTTAAATTTTACCGCTCGCAAATTTTTCTAAAAAAATATTCTTTTAAAAAACTGAAGGCGAACATTTTTACAATTTTTTTTAAAAAGTTGTCGCTTCAAAATTTAAAAGTTTCTCAAAAGTTTTTTCTAACAGCCGTTGCTACCAGGAGTCTCTTCTCGACTTAAGTTCTTATTCATAGTCATTTTCTAACAGCGACATTCCTCAGAAGGCCCCATATGGTTCACATTGTGGTTAAGGAAGGTTTAAGAAATCGCACTAAATATCATCATAAGAGGGATGATTTTTGATCACACCAGTATAACTTTGGAATTTGGATCTTTATTGTGAGGGATTTAAACGATTTGCCTCTGTTAAAAGTACGAAGTATGGAAGGAAAAATTGTATGATTTTGACAATGGATTTGGATCCAATTCTAAAGTGATACTAATGAATTTTCACGAGGTTGGCAAAAATTGTCATTTTTATGATGCTATATCAAGTACTTCCTCAAATCTCCCTTAAGCACAATGGAAGCCATATGAGGCTGCCTAACGAAAGGCCCTGTTGAAGAAATGACCACGGATGTAACCCAAAGTCGAGGATCAGGGAACTTCCCTAGTTGCAACAACACTGAAAAAAAAGTATGGTGACATTTACTATGAGTCTACTTGATTTTTTACACAGTGATACTATTTAGTGGAAATAACCAGAATTATAGTAGTATTCGCCAGAACTCTGGTGATTCTTACCATAGTATGGTAAATGCCACCATAGAGTCTGGTGTTTATTACCATATTCGTATCACTGTGTCAGAGATGGTAAAATCTACCGGCATATTTTTTTCAGTGAACTGTTAGATATAAAACCTTTGAAAAACTCGTAAATTATAAAGAGACATAACATTTTGGAAAACAATTGTTAAAATTCTAGCTTCATGTAACCTCCATTGGGTATTTTTTTAGTAAAATATGCATGTATGTATAAGTCACTTTTATGGAGCGTTAGAACGCTCTACGACGCCTACCCGCCACTGGAATCTGTCACGGTAGAGATCCTCCAGAAGCTAGCATCTCTCATTTTAGTAAAATTTACGAGGGGTAAAGTCTAAGAAAAAAAAAATTATTAAAGAAACTCTTAATGTATCAACTATGGTTTTTAGATACTGAAATTTGTGAGCACGACTCATAAATAAGACTCTCGGTCACATATTTCGATCTTTCTAGAGTCCCTTTATATTGAGAGTCAAGACAACACCCCCTCATGGAGTCACAAACGGGAAAAAAGATTACAGAAATTGAACGTTTTTTGTAATCATTGATCGGCCCATTTTCAAATTCCTTTCTCCGTTCCATCTCTCACTCCGTTTGTTCCTAGCCGCACCCGTAATTCCCTGGTCCATTCCCGATTATAATCTTTGCAATTGGTGAAAATGTAATTTTTATTCCCGTTTGTAACACTGTGAAGGCCTACAATACGGGAACCAATCAGAAATGGATTCACATTGTCTTGACCGTCAGTAGAAAGGGACTCTAGATCTTTCATCGAAGTCTGGAAATGCGCCTAGATATTGCAGCCCTGCGCGGTGGTCAAGATGTCGACGACGGGAGAAGTCAGCTGTTGGAGATGGGAGGCGCGCGAGTTATACGACGCGACGTCGCGACGCCCCTGGAGCCGACGCCGACGACGTCGAAGTCGACGACGAGGCCGGGCAACGAGGAAGTCTCCATCTCCATCTCCATCCCGGAGCTGGACTCACGTTCACCTGAGTGCTTGAATCGAGGCATTCCTCAGCGAATCCGGGGATCTGTCCCCGCGTCAATCCCATTGACGGATGGAGCCCCG